GTACCACGTGCATAGTTTGAAACCCACAGTTTGAAATTCCACTCGGATTTTGAAACCCCAATAGAATACAGCAACTCGTATTTGAAACATTACTTTTAATTGCATGCTGAAAAATCTAGAAACATTTCTAGTTCCTTTTTGTCGAAATTCAAGAGATRAATTACGGTTGGCCTGTATTGACCACTTTTGACTTCATTTTAAAAAGACAAACCTTACCTGGAGACGATACAGGCGTTGACATTGGAATGGCCGTCGTTGAAGCTATAGCAGTTGTGGGTGTCGGTGCCACTGATGCTGAAGATTAATTATAACAAGTGTATTKGAATGTCAGTTGTCAACTTTGCCGAGAAAGCAGCACTAATAACCAATTGTTATAATACTAAAGGGAAGTTCGGGGAGTTAAGAGATAAAGGGAGAGAAATACAAGAAGGGGAAAACTGTATGGAAGGGGTCTCTTTTTTAGATTCCCCCTCCCCCCCCTTCCCCCCCGGAAGGTCTCTTTCGAGGTGCACTGGGGGTAGAAATATATGTATTTTAAACCAAAAACTTATTAGTTTGAAAGGCACTTAAACAGTTGCTAAATTAAAAAAATACTAAAGGCTTGCATGGATCATATACTAACTCGTGTGTGGTCTCCAGCGAGTGGTTGGTCTCCATGGCCAGGTAGTGTGTGGTCTCCAGCGAGTGGTTGGTCTCCATGGCTGGGCAGTACGTGGTGTCCATGGCCAGGTAGTGTGTGGTCTGGCAGTAGTAGTGTACCCTGGGGGAAAAAATAATCAGACTAGACGCATATCTGCGTGAACTCGGGCTTCATTTTGAACACTGAAAGGTTTGAAAGGAAAATGTGACAGCACTGTATTATTAGATACAAACAAATGACAAAAGTGATCAAACGCTTTCTACTGTAATTAAAAAACCATACTATAACAAATTTGCCACAGCTATTACCAATATATAAAGGAATTATACATCAGATACATGATTTAAGTCCAAGATGAAGTACCAAACTAAACTTCCGAATATTCAAGAACACAGACCCAATACTCACAATCTCATCAATGCCTTTCTCTGCGAAGTGAGTAACTTAACCTTCTTAAATAATCATTTAAAGTCTCTCCACGTTCCTTTTTGGTGTGGCTGGGACATTTTGCTAGCATCTCCAGCGTTATTTTGCCCGTTTTTAGGAGAATATATACTTTTTAAACCACAAAATGTAAGAAGTTCAGCTTGTTTGACTCAGTAATCGAGATGGCTGGCAAACACACGTGTGCGTCAGAGACCCGTGGCTGATGTCCGAGGCGTTCCTAACTGGCGTTAAGTGCGCATGTCTACTTTTTGTAGACGAACATGGAAAATACGACGAACAAGAACGGGCAATTTATAACTCGGGCTTTCCTTCGGAAAGAAGCCCGAGTAATAAGCAGTTGGCTGGTTGGCTGGTTGGCTGGTTGGCTGGTTGGCCGGTTTCTGTACATGTGAACATCCATATTTCACAGAAGAACAAAGGTAAGTTTCTGTGGGAACACATATTATCCAATGCGGCATGTCTAAAATTTACTTGGGGAAGAGGGTGCTGTCCATGTTGTAAGGGAAGCGTCTCCCCGTGTAAAGAGTCCTCGATCAAAGCCGTACTTTATTATTTCAATTCAACCAAGTTAAAACAAGTGTGTGAGGTCACGCATGAAGCACTGAGCTTAATCTGTTGTCAACGAAGAGCGACAAATATAATAGAATTGCCAGTCTACTTACTGCCACAAACAACACCTGCATCTTCACCATGACTGCAATTTTCAATTCCCCATCCTAGAAAACGGCACTCCGATAGAGATCGTTCCGAACCGGTACAGTGAACATCATCCATCCAAGTAGGTTCCCTCCCTCGACCAAACCGAGCACAACAG